TGAGAATGCGAGAATAGGTGAGGGTACTTCTGCTTCATTTGCTCTTCGCGTTCCCATGTGAATTCTGGCCCACGCTTAGCGTTCCACCGTACATTCACAATCGGAATGCGACTTTGCTTGGTACGCTTCACCTCCCTGTCCATGATTTCGACTGGTTCCTCAATAAACAAGAGATTCTCGTTGATTTCGATTTTGACAAGGGGAATGATGATAGTTTCATCAGATAGGCACTTCTTTAAATTGGAGACATGGAACACGGGGTGTACGCTGCTGAGCTCAGCTGCTAGCTGCAGTTTGTACGCCACTGGACCAATTCGGGCAAGAATCTCGAAAGGTCCAATGTATCGTGGATTCAATTTTCCCCGTTTTCCAAAACGAATAACTCCTTTCTAGGGAGAAACTTTTAACAGCACTCGATCCCCGACCTGAAACTCCAAAGGCTTTCACCGTTTATCAGCATAGCTCTTTTGTCGGTCGTGTGATGCTTGTAGTCGAGCTCTGATTTGAACTATCTTTTCTGTGGTTTCACGTAAGATCTCTGGTCCCGTTAACGTCTTTTTTGATGTCAGTTCTCTCGCTAACTAGGTGTCGCCTACCTCAGCCCAACACAACAGTGATCTACACTTCCGTCCACACAGTGCCTCGAAAGGAGCAACTTTAATGCTCGAATGGTAACTGTTGTTGTACGAGAATTCAACTAAGGGTAAGTGGGTATCCCACGACTTCTCAAAGTCTATCACACATGCGCGAAGCATGTCTTCAAGCGTCTGAATGGTTTGATCGCTTTGACCATCCGTTTGGGGGTGATAAGCAGTGCTCATGTCGAGATGGGTTCCCAGTGCTTTCTGAAGTGATTGCCAAAAACGTGAAGTGAATCTACTATCTCTATCTGAGATGATAGACACTAGCACTCCGTGAAATCTCACGATTTCTCGAATGTATGTTCTTGTCAATCTCTCCATCTTGTAGGATTCTTTTATTGGCAGGAAATGAGCGGATTTCGTCAGTCTGTCAACTATTACCCATATAGTGTCCAATCCATCTGACGACTTGGGTAGCTTGGTCACAAAATGCATAGTAATCGTTTCCCATTTCCACTCGGGAATCACTTTTTGTTGTAATAACCCCGAGGGCTTCTGGTATTCCACCTTTACTTTGGCGCAAGTAAGGAATTTGCTAACATAGGTGGCAATCTCTGCCTTCATGTTAGGTCACCAATAATGTTGTTTAATATCCAAGTACATCTTATCCGAACCCGAATGGATGGAGTATCGCGTCTTGTGAGCTTCATTCATGACTACCTCCCTAAATCATCCAAGTTTAAGGACCCAAATACGGTTCATGAAATAGTATACTCCGCCCTCTTTCACCTCGAGATTCTTCTCCATTCTGTGTAACGCTTCGCTTGTTCTGTTTTCCGCCTTCATGGCATCTGATTGGGCTGCCCTGATCTGAGTGGTTAGGTGAGATTGGATGGTTATTGAGAAAGTTTTCACACGACAATTAGAGTAGTCTTTCCGACTAAAGGCATCAGCTACCACGTTAGCCTTGCCTGGGTGGTACTTGATTTCACACTCATAATTGTTTAATAGTTCAACCCATATTCGTTGCCTCATATTCATCTCTTTTTGATTCAAGATGTGCTGGAGACTCTTGTGGTCCGTGAAGATGGTGCACTTCGTACCATAAAGGTAGTGCCTCCAAATTTTTAGGGCAAAGACCACTGCTCCTAATTCCAGATCTTGGGTTGTATAATTCACTTCGTGTGTCTTTAGTTGTTGGGACGCCTAAGCTATCACTTTTCCGTGCTGCATGAGAAAACAACCTAAACCCTGATTGGACGCGTCACAGTAGACTACAAAATCTTCTGTTCCCTCTGGTAGTGTTAGTACCGGGGCACTGCAGAGTGCTTGCTTCAGAGTTCGGAATGTAGCTTCTTGTTTGTCTGTCCATTTGAATGGTACTCCATTTTGTGTAAGCGAGGTAAGTGGCTTGGCGATCTTAGAGAAGTTTTGAATGAACCTCCTGTAGCAACCTCAAGACCTAAGAATTGGTGAATTTATGTGGGTGTTGTTGGGACTGCCCATCCTTCGATGGCTTTGACCCTAGAAGGATCCACATGTATTCCTTTCTGACTAACAACATGACCCAAAAAGTTCACGCTACGGAGCCAGAACTCACACTTGGAGAGTTTTGCATATAGTTTCTCAGATCTTAGGGTTTCCAGGATTTGTTGGAGATGTTGGTCATGCTATTCTTTGCTTCAAGAATAAACTAGAATGTCGTCAATGAAAACAATAACGAAGTTGTCAAGGAATGGTCGGCATATTCGATTCATTAGGTCCATGAATGCTGCAGGGGCATTCGTTAGACCGAAGGGTGTTACGAAAAATTCATAATGTCCGTAACGAGTTCGGAAAGCGGTTTTCAGGATATCCTCTTCCCGGACCTTGAGTTGATGGTACCCAAATTGCAGATCTATCTTAGAGAAGTAACTAGCTCCTTGGAACTGGTCAAATAGATCATCGATTCGTGGGAGTGGATAGCGATTTTTGACAGTGAGCTTATTTAGTTCTCTGTAATCGATGCACATCCTAAAAGATCCGTCCTTCTTCTTGACAAAGAGAACTGGAGCTCCCCATGGCGAGAAGTTGGGTCGAATGAATCCCTTGTCCAGGAGTTCACTGAGCTGGCTGGATAATTCTTGCATCTCAGCAGGAGCCAATCGGTAAGGCGATTTAGCGATGGGAGTAGCTCCTGGCACAAGATCAATTTGAAATTCAATTTGTCTTTCTCGGGGTATCCCAGGAAGATCTTCATGAAAGATGTTTGGGAATTCAAATGCTACAAGAATGTCTTGAACGTTAACCTCTTCCTTGGATTTATCCACTAGGTGCGCCAGGAACGTCAAATCTTTCTTTCGTAGATACTTCTGTGCCTGGACGCACAAGATGAGACGAAGATTCATGTTGGGTTTGTCTCCATATATAATTAGAGTTTCATGATTTGAAAGGTAAAGGCGAATGGCCTTCTCGTGACACATCATTTCAGCACGGTGGGGGCTTAACCAATCCATGACAATAATCACATCAAAACTCCTAATGGAAACAGGCATTTAGTTTATTCGAAAGACGTGTTGGTTTAGGTCTAGGGTACATCCGATATAGATTTCCCCAGTAGATTATGTTTTCCCATTGGCCATTTCCATCGTAAAGGTTTCATTGAGCTTTTGGGGTTGTTGTTTTAATAAATGCTTAAATTTATTGCTCACAAAACTTTGTTCTGCTCCCGTATCAAATAGGATGCATGCATAAATGTGGTTTAGGAGGAACATACTGTGACGACAGTGGGATCCTGAACCGCTTCTCCCTGACCCATGGTCAACACTCTTCTTGTCCCTCCATTCCCAGAATTGTTGTTGTTGGGGCAGTTTCGATGGAAATGCCCAGTCCTTCCACATCCATAGTAGGTGTGGCATGGTCCTGCATTGTTGCCGCCATTTCCGGTGTTGTTGTTGTTGCGGTTATTGTTGTTGTTTTTTCCTTGTTGTTGGTTCTGAGGAGGGTAGGTCCTGCAATACTTCGCCGTGTGTCCCTTCCGATTGCAACTGGTGCACTGCATCTCTCTGCATTCTCCATTGTGATGGAGACCGCAGTTGTTGCACTTAGGAAGATTATCGGAATAATGCCTAGGAGCACTTGGAGCAGTTGAGGCTGGAGCATGTGGTGTGGGTGGAACTTGAGTGGTTGCAGCATTAACTGCCACTGTTTGCTGCTTCTTGGATGATTCAGAGCCTTGACGCCCCTTCCTCTTGTTGTTCTTTCCCTTTTTGTAGTCATTTTCCTTCTTACCTTCAGCCTCCACTGGCTTCTCGCCCTTTTGTTGTTGTGGTCATACAGTTTCTTGGCCAATCTCTTGGCACTGTCGAAAGTTTCAAGGTTTGCATCTATCACGTTTCCTTGGATCGGAGAGGTTAGTCCCGAAATGAATCGCTCGATCTTCTTTCCTTCTGAGGTGATCATGCCAGGGCATAGTAGAGATAGTTTGCTAAACCTTGATATGTTTGCTTCTATATCAGCGTTTCGAACGGTGAGATTCCACAACTCTTGTTCGATTTTTTGAATTTCTCCACGAGGGCAGTACACGGCCATCAGCCTTTCTTTCATCTCTCTCCATCACATGGAATTAACTACGGGGAGTGTCATGGCTTCCACGTTTCTGTTCCACCAAGTGAGCGCTTGGTTAATGAAAGTGAATGCGGTAAACTTCACCTTCATCTCTTCAGAGCAATCACATATCTCAAACACTGATTCCACCTTCTCGATCCATCGTTTCAGGATAATCATTCCTCCAGTGTCGTTAAAGGTTCGTGGTTTGGCGTTGGTGAAATCTTTGTAGGAGCATGTTTTGGTAGGTCCTTGATTCATCCTGTTGTTTGAACTTCCAGCCCCTTGTCCGTTGACTCCTCCATTGTTCCCCTGGTGAATTTGTGCTATCGTTGTGGTGACCGCAACAGATACAGCTGCTTGGAATGCAGCTGAGTCGACTTCGGGTGGGGTTGGCCCAGGGTTACCGCGGATGGGTCACTGAGGCATCTTTCTATCATGGAACGGAAAGATGTTGAGTGTTTGTGCTTTTGTGAGGTTGTGATCCTATAAACTAGGTGTGTAGCACAAACTTAAGTAATTTCACACTTAGCATAAAATCATGGATATGTAACACATAGCAGACTGAAACATCACAGTAAACATATAAAAAAATTCATTAATATTATCCGCACTTTAATACATGAAAATTTTGCTCGGAAGAGCATACATAAGTGGTACAAGTTTGGCAGCATAACGACCCTATGAGTAGTGTAATCACTTAAACATGGCGTCGGGGTACATAGCATAGATCATAGTACTAGTACTAAAGACGAGTATGACTAGTCCCTCGTACGGTGAGACCTATATAGCAGGTAGTAGAGCAGGTCCTATTAGTAAGGATGACGACGACGCTCAATCATCAAGGTGATGCACCAGAAGTTCAGCCAGTTCATCCGCCTCTTGGGTGATTACCTCTACTTTTGGCTCGGCTCGTACAACCCTTGCCTTGGTCATAATGAGTTGAAGCTTTAGGCTGATAACTGCCTCCTCCAGAGAGCGTAGATAGTCTGTATCCACCCCTTGGAACATGCGGAAGTTTGATGGGGCTTCCGACTGGTGAGGTTCACTACATGCCCCCTTTACGCCCTTTTCTTCATCTGGCTCCTGGTCCAGCTCATCATAATTGAAATCAACTATCATGTATTCGTCATGTTCCTCTTCAGTTCCAATGTCGTGTGCTTTCCCCTTGATCTCCTTCAGGCTTATCTTCAATCGTTTCGTGAGCAGCTAAGACCTAAGGAAACTGAATGCCCTGCTGCTCCCCTTCCATAGAGACTGAGAGGAGGTATACGAATAAACTATCATTACTCCTACGATGCTACAATTATTGTATATATTGAGCTGATGTTCTATTCTTGGTGATAAAGGGGTATGTTTTTAGGTTCCCTGACCATCACGATTTCCTCAGGACATGTGATAGTTGTGCCTTGGAGGAAATGTAGTTGATCACGCTACACCCACTCCTTGATACGACTACGAACAGTCCTAGCTTAACCGAGATGCTAACATTATCTTGTTTGATTCGGTTATTACGTTCTTTTTCCTAATGCACACAAGCAAAGATGTTTTTATCGTTGTGTTTTACTTGTTTTTTTCAGAGTTGTGTTAGTCCCTCTTTTGGGTTTATAGTTGCATATCAATGTATGATTAGATATGCCATTTCACTATAAACAGAGCTCTGATACCAACCTATCACAACCCGAACCAGACGGCATAAATGTCTGAGGGCTCTTGTGACTTAAATTGAATACCATCACAATGAATATACATGAATCATAACATAAATCATCACAATGCATGAAAATAATACAACTGATATTGTTTACATCCAGTACTTTGTCTTAAACATTACAAATTCATAACATAATTGTCTGATAGATATCATACGCAAAACACCCTGACATTACTTGGTACTTATTCTTCGGTTTACCTGTTACCTGAAAATACAAGTTAATTTTGAAAAACGTAAACATATGAAATGTTGGTGAGTTCATAAGCAATGTTTTGATAAAATGATTTTGTGTAGTTTGTAAAACCCAGAAAATCCGATATTTTCTAAAAAGATCATTGTTTATAAAAAGTGTGAAGATCTATAAATATATGCTTGTTGATTTTTAAAACGTGTTTAAATGTTGAACTTTAGTATTACTCGCTCAAGTGGAGATGTTGAACTTCGCAGGAAAACCCGATGTTTTTGCCAATACATAAATTACAGTGATTTCTCAATTGTTATACCGTCACGACGAATGATCTTTGTTTCTCGCGTGGCGTTGGATTAATTAGGGTTTGTGAGTCGTTATAATCATGCATTAGAAAATTACTAGTTTATAACTACAGGTTTCGAACGATCCTTAATGGTGTCGCCCGTTACTACTCACTTAATCCAACAACCATGATTACTTTTGATTAACGTCCTAAATCTGTTTACCTTGATTTCTCGTAAGCCTAACAAACGAGGAAAAGGGGAGTACGAAGTCCCGTTATTTCCATGAGTTATTTAGGTTGTCGGGAATGCGAATGGCACGTTGTCCCAGCTCACATTTGATTTCTTGACCTCACTAGCAATACTAATGGGCCACTAGGGCCCAATAGCACATCATAGCCATTGAAAGTCCTTTTACATGAAATCGGGTCATAGGAGGCCCAATTGAACATAAGCATATTCCCTTTGGGCTCAAAGATCATGTAAATGGGCTAGAAAGGCCCAACAAACATGATTTGAAACTTCCAAGCCCAAAGTTTGTAAATTTTCTCATCTTATCTCATATTTATTTAGATGGTTTTGTTCAACGCTTGTTGTTTTGTATTGATTCGAGACCGAATCACTTCGTTTGTAATGATATTTGTTGTTGAAATTGTATTTGTTTTTCGTATCGTCAGTAGTTTGTGGGTTTTGTATTTTGTATTAATGAATTAATTTGTTTAAAAGTGGTTTTTGACCCTTTCACTACCCTACTTTTATAAAAATAACACTTTTGGTCCTTTTATATAAAAGAATTTCATTTTTAGTCCTTAAAACATTCTCTTGAAACTTTTGTATCATTTATTTGATGAAAACACAGTTTTAACCCAAAATTTATTTTGTGGACAGCTTCTGCCCTCCCAGAATGATGATTCTCAGTTATAACCCCATTTTTCACAACTTTTTACAATTTGGCCCAAAATTCTAAAAACTTTACATTTTTGGTCCTTTTTGATAGTAAAAGCATTTTTTACTCTTAAAATGACTTTTTTATGCTACTTACCCCCTGTTTTATCGAAAATTTCATTTCAGCCCCTAAAGTTTGTCATTTTTCGCATTTTGAGGCTTATTGGGCCGAAAAGCCCATAATTAGCCCATTAAGCTAAAAAAATTACAATTTAAGTCCCTTGAAAATTTTATTATTCAGAAAAATGATTATAGAAAATGTTTTGACACTTTTGACCCTCAAGAAACCTTGACTTCTCGATTTCTAACCCAAGTTTTGTATTTTTGACAATTTAAAACCCTAAAATGGGTTTTATGTTAGAATATGTTCATCATAACCTTATATGCTATCATTCTTAACTTGTTTGGTGTAAAATAGCTTAGATTATGTTTGTTTCCTTTCTCATGCCGTAGATCTCGGGTTTACACCCCTTTTGTTAACATATTCGTCACAAAAACATATGAAATCACACTCATACATGCATAAAAATCACACATAGCATACACATACACATAGATGTACACATTTTCTTGTATTCTCCCCCATAAAACTCATGAAAACCAAAAAGAAAGGGGTATAAAAGTCACCTTGAGTTGTAGTTTCGGTTTGTTATGAAGATTAGGAGAAGTTTGGTGTTATTTTCGGCCCTTGCAAGTTCCTTGGATGGATCTCGAACTTAGTGGGTTCTAAGATGCAAGATCATGAACTTGAATGGATTAAGTGATGATTTTTGATGAAAAGAATTGATTTAAAGCATGGGTCATACATCCACTTACCTTGGATGATGATTTTTATGGAAGAATCTCTTTGAAAGTCCCTTAGATCTCGAAAATTTGGAGAGAAATGGAGAGAGCTTCTTGAGAGAATTTTTTTGAGTGATGTATGGGTGTGTTGGTTTGAGTTCGGCCGAAAGGAAGAGAGGGAGAAAAAGAGAGAGGGTGATGGTATTTTTGCATGGAAGTATGAGAGTTTTGCATGGAAATTCATTAGGTAAAAATGAGTTGGCACCACAAAGTCAACTCTTCCCTTCTTTGTGGGCTTGGGCCAAAAATGGAGAGGGAAATAGGAAGTTTTGGGGCTTTGAATGATTAAGCCCATTTTATGGTTAAGTTAGGTGGTTTTGGCCCAATTAAGTAAAGATATGATTTTTGTGACCTATTAGGGCTAAATTAACTTGATTGTGACCCATTAAGGCCCATCTAAGTTAACCTAGTGTCTTTTGGGCTCCTAAGGCCCAAAAGTATTATTGTTCATGTATATGAATCCAATTAGGGCCCATTTGAGATTTCTAGGTTCAAGATAGTCAAATTGGAAGCTTATTGGCCCATTGGGTCCAATAAGGAAATCCTAGTCCAGAATGGACTTAAACCGGGATTTCTAGGGTTTCCAATTCTTTGTTGACTATTTACAGTACTTGTATGAAGTTTTTTATTGAAGTTTGTTTTTATTGGAAATAAACGTCTTACATGCTTGCATATTGTTGGTTCACATTTTTTATCATTGTTCCATGCTTACAAGGCATCGAACTTCCTAGTTGTGACACTAAACGTTTAATTGTTGTATTAGCACTGGCATGTAACTATTCGAAGTAATAGGGAGATTTACACGATGATCGTAAATAAAATCTTTCCTATCTTAATTCTCGTCAATACACATCGAACATCCGACTTGGTGTATAGATCGACATGGTGAGCACTCGAAGCGGAATTAGAAGTGGAAACCCACAGCCCAAACCACAAGTGATTGAGCATGCACCAGAAGTAGCAACTGCACCTGGGCCAATCACGATGACGGGGGTATAAGCAATGGTGTGGATAATGTTGGATCAACAGAAGAAACACGGCGTTTACTTCAACAAAGTAAAAATGAACTTACTGTGCCAGTACGCCAGACACCTACTTTTGAGGCAGCCATCTAGGTTGAGGTTGGCAAGAAGAGGAAAATTGAGGGAACTTCAAGTTCCAACAAGACCAACATGTTCTCATAGTCTGGAGGAGGAAGAGGTGAAGCAAAATGGTGTTACAAGTATGGAAGGAAACACAACGGGGGATGCCATAAGGATGTGACCTGCTTCAAATGCGGGAATACTGGTCACTATGCCCCCAAGTGCTCAACCAAGGAGGAAGTTTGCCTTAAGTGTTGTGGAAAGGGACACTTCAACAGAGATTGTCCGATAAGGGCTACAACGCCAAATGTACCGTTGAAGCACTATGAGGGATGCGACGAAAAAGTAACTTGTTACAAGTGTGGAAGAATCGGTCACTATTCCAAGGACTGTACACATAGGGATAAAGTATGTTATGGATGTAGAGACAAGGGGCACATGTCTATGGATTGCCTGAAGAAAAATGAAGCAGCGAGACCGAATTTGCCGCCAAAGTCGAAGGAAAGCGCATTCCGGAGGATTCTTGGCGAAGCTAGTGACAATGCAAGGTTTCAGGAGTGAAGTCTTGATATCCAAAGATCGACTTATGAAGTAGCCATAGGATCGTAGGAGTAGCCTATTAGAGGCATAGTCTAGGGTGAACTTGACCACCTATGTAATCGTTTCAAGAAATTATATAAAGACCTTCATTTTGTTATCTGATGTGTAGAATGATTTTGTGATTTTACTACATGGTGACTTGGATAAACTGCAAGACATTACTTGGGACGAGTATGAGTATGTGTGATAGGTAGTAGATGCATATACTACCGGAAGCACATGACTCACACTTGGATCAGGGAAAGTCACAATGTTACCAAGAAGCTAGTAATTGATACCATTTTATCCAAGTATGCCATTACCATCGTTCCGGTAATGACTAAGAAGATTGTTGTTATTACGACCCTAGTTGTCATATCAAATTGAGTCCAACTATGATGAGTATGTTACGTCATTCAGAGCACCAGGTTCGATGTAGCATCTAACTTAAGCCAGAAGATTGAAGTGAGAGATAATCAAAGCGATTA